AATGACTAGAGGAAGGCCTTTAGAAATAGCGATGCTGGACTAGAACTTCAGTCCATTAATTTTTCAGGCAAAATATTTTTTCTTCCTCCATTTTCAAAATATGAATTTTGTCCCAGGAATTTGTTAATTGTGTGCCAATGCGGGATGTAATATTTCTGATGTGCAGAGAGATCCTGTAATTTCGTCGTAGCTCCTGTTAATTTGCCGGTCTTTCATTATAACTGTTGTGGTGATCCGGCTGAAAAGCTTGCCTCTGTGACTTTTCCCATCGAATTTAGGTAATCTCAATTTCCAGTTCGATTTTTTTTGTCGCCGCTCTTCAATTTTTTGTCTTCCGCAAAAGAAATACAAGGAGGAATAAAGAAATTCAGATACAGGATGCCGAAAATCATTGAATGCAAGATAGCTTCAATGCAAGATAGAATTTGCAAGATAGCTTCAGCTCTGGGGGTAGGAAAGGCCGAAAATGAATTCCAAACCAACTAAAAGCAAGTTGCAGAAGGTATAAGATGGACATTCACTGACAGAAGGGCTAGCCCACTACCAACTATTACCCAATACTCACGCGAGCCCTCCAAAAGGTATCTCGAAACTATAGTGAAATGCCAGGCAGAAGAAAGGAGTCCAGGCGGTAGGAAGCAATAAAGGGAAAGAATGCGAAGCTCTAAGTTAGATTTTTTACCCTTTTCGGCCGGCTTGGTCAGGTGGTGCACGGCCGGCCTAGAGCATCAACAGCTGTTACATCCCGTTTCTGCGGAGAACCTAGCATGACAGGAGCATTAGATGGAATTTGTAGTACTTCCAGGTTCTAAGGACAAACCCAGCTGAAGTCTCTCTACACGTGCCATCGTCTGTTAATGCTTGGCTCAAAATGTCTCGCAACAACGCGACTCGAACTAAGCTATGAGCCAAGCAGCCAACAGACGACGTTCGGCATGTACAGAGATGACGACGTCCGAATTGCCCATGGTGACGGAATACTTATTTCCACATATATCCTGTTATGATATGTGGAAAATCGTTGCAGATGGTTTTCGATGAAGGGTAGGATTTCAGTTTTTTCTATGTTGAGATGCTTTATGAGGGAGCCGTGATGGCATGTCAGTAGGCCAAGTGG